TAAGACGAAAACAATTAATTCCTTTTTTAAGCGAGTTAAAGAAAGCAGGTAAATATCCTAAACTCCGAGGTGATTCTATTCTGTTGGGCAATTATTCTTTGACGTATAGCTATGTGTTGGAGGAGCTGGTATACTCGGATTCTTTTACCCCGTTTTCTACTTCTGAGAATACTCTGCAATGACATATTATTAATTTAAATACACCTATCCAAGACTTACGCTTTGTGGAGACTCAAATTTCAAGTCCTTTGTCTGCTGCAAATAATAAATGAAAGTTTACACGATATTGCGTACAATTAAAAAGTCTCCCATTTTGAAAAATGGAAGAAATTATATATACCTAAAAAAGAAATAATTACATTATTGTTTATTTATTGATTAATAAATTAGAAATAAATAACCTGACATAAAATTTTGGTTAAAATTATGGTAAATGTACTTCTCGAACAACAGCAAATACTATTTGAAGTTTTTCGTACATACGAAATTTTGAGAAGCTCTATTCTTTTTGTTGTTATAACTGGAGATTTAAATGCTATATTGTACAGTTCATGATTTTGCTATATAAAGGACCTAACGTTATAAATTAAAACATTCGTAAAGCCAAAGATGTTAAACAGACTAAAATGGATTGTAACTTTCTAAAATTAACGACTCAAGCTCAATTATATATGTTTAATGGCAGAATTGAAAAGGTCTTGCCTTCTGAATTTATTATGTATTCACTTCGGGAAGCTCTATTATCGATTTGTTTATATGTTTAGTATTTCTAGTGGATTTATGTTTGGAGATTCAGGTATTATATTGTGATTTATCAGACCAATTTTCTGTTAGTTCGTTCTTTGGATTGAAAGAATTGTATCATATTGATTGTGTTATACCGAAGTATCAGATAATTGTCTATCAATATCAATGATATCAAGTCTTCTGAAGAACTGGATTTATTTATTCGTAAATTTAAATATTAATACAGATCTTGGAATGGATATAATTACCATTAATTTTATTAATCTTCTACCGCCAGCGGGTAGGCAAGTTCATCTTGATATTTATAACCATTTTTATAAAATATATATTATTTTTTCACTGAGTGTACAAAGATTGTTGAAGCGCAATGTAAATCTAAATTAAAAGAAACTTATGATTTAAATTAATAGGAAAATTTCAGAACCAATCTAGAAATAATTCTGTTGTGTAAGATGTATAATATTTATAATTTTTTGTTCATATTTTAAAGATTTTGAAATATGATAGTGTAGATTGCATGATTGGTATACTATGTTTATTAAGTTTTATGTAATAGGATACTTAAAACATGTTTAAATGAATATTAATTGTATTCTTGTAATTTTCTAAAGCCAACCCCCCTGTAACAAGACTTTTCTTATTACAATAAAGTATTTGTATATATATATTATCATAATAAATATTAACTAATTAATTATTTGTGAAGATTTCTGCTGTGTGAGATTTGTAATAAAATAATAAATGTTTTAATAAGTAATGATTACTTGCTCAGAAGACTACATAAAATTATTTCCCTCTTCTAGTTGATGTTTTCCTTCATCAGAAACATCAGCCATACAAGATTGCTTGAATGCATTCAATAAGAAAAATTCAACTGAAATTTAGTGCAGATTTTATAATTATTATCGCTTTTTAAAATTCATATTTTCATACAAATAATGCTATTTGCTGCATATGTTGAGAAGGAACTAAGGAACCAATATGGTGGCTTTATAAAGAACACGATTATCATAAAGAAAAAGCAAATGCTTCCATTAGATATCGCCATCTACTTTTATTATTCAAGGCATAAAATTGGCCAAGCGGTTCCGTTCTCTGAACACTGGGAGTTCGGTTTGTGGTTTCTCGCCTCCCCGGTCGGACTATCCGCGTGGAGTTTTCACGTCTGTAACGTCTGATAGGGGCCAGTTACTCTTAAAAGATCTCCTGAAAGGCATTATTCCCCGCGTAACGACCATCATAAACGCATACAACTACTATTACATGACAATTACGTCACACGGGGCAATATAGTCTAGAAGGTCATGCTCAACTAGCCGATACAAGACAATTCATAGAATAAATTTTATTAAATATATAAGAATATTAAGTTACAAAATGAAAACCTGTTAGATTGTCCTTTTATTTTCTTTCTTAGGAATCATTAACTTGAAATTATTAATATTAATTATAATAATAATTCTTTTGAATGTTTAATTTAACGAAGGAGGATTTAATACAAAATCAGAAAAATAAATTACACCGATTTTAATGAATATTTCTGAAGTTATTGATAAACACGAGATAAAACACCACAAATATTAAAGGTGTATGCATTTTGTCAGGATACAGTAAATGTTTTTCGTTAACTTGACGTCATTCCTACCTGTTTTTGTGATTGGAAAATCTAAAATGACAAACTGACGTAAATTGTATTCTATTCTAATCTTACGAAAGCTAAACAAATTGGTAACACGATCATCGACATTTTGAATGAGAAAGAACCGAATTATTAAACTAAAATGAGCAGATAAATTGGCGCATTCGTTTTGTCTAAATAATGTACATTTTTACGTCATGAATAAAAAGTAATTATAATGAACAAAGGATAATTGCATAACAATAATCCAATGCAATAATTTTTCAATGTTCTACTTCTACCTCGTTACTTTTGTCATTGCTATAATTTATAATTTAGATATTTATCACGTTGAAGTTAGCACGCAAACACGTGATTTTTATAAATGCAGAGCGAGTGTCTATTTTTACACGAATTTGCATAATATCTGTACGAATTGCAAAGATAAAACTTCCTTCTTGTTTTGTAAAATATGCGAAATTTTCTCAAAAAATTACATTTGTATATGCACTTTCTTACGTTCAGTTTTGTTTATTTCTTTAATCACTAAGAACTCGTTAACTTATTAATACATAAAATACATCTATAAAAAGTTATACAAACTTCATCCCTGTTATAACTAAGGTCTGGTTCTGTAAGTTAGATAAACGTAAATACTTAAAAAAAAAACAGCGAATTTTCGAGGTCACCTTCGTGAAAAACTTGCTTGTTAAAACCGAAACTGGTATCAGTAAGCGCTTACTCTTATTCTGTTATTCTTCTGTATTAATGTAGATTCTGTTTAAAGAGAACTTTAACAGAGAGTATTTTCATCGTAATTCGTATTGTCTAAAAGAGAAAACCCGTAATTAATCTATATAATGTTCAATATAATAGCAACTTGTTTCGGAAAAAGTGAAAAGTATATAGATGTGGAAAATGGAAGAGCATTAGTAACAGGCGGTGCACAGGGGATAGGAAAAGCTGTTTGTGAAGCATTGTTAAGTAGAGGATCTAAGGTAGGATTTTTTTCGTTCATAATTCTTAATCGTTGTATACTTGCTGATATTTAATATGAAATTAAAATTATTTAGCAAACTCGTACATTAAGTTGTTTGCTGATCGAATATAAACACACAAAAAATTAATAGGTTTACCTTGAACAGTGACAATTCTCTCCATTTTTTAAACAATGTTATTAATTACATAATTATAATACCCTTATAATATACAGGGTGGGCCATCGAAAACGAAACGGCAGAGTTATCGTGTTCGTCCAAGCAAATCGCTCGGACAGGTCGTTTTATTCTCAATATCTTCTGCAATAAAGTTTTTGCGATTTTGAACACAACAGACAATAAAAAATTTTAAAAACTCATTCATTTTTTATTAACTAAACAAACACTTATTTTGGAAAAATAGTAACACAAACTATTAACAAACATAAAAAAACCTTTTAAGCTGGACCGCATATGCAAGGAAAAAAATATTTTCCCTTGAGAATAAAATCAACCTGTCCGAGCAATTTGCCTGGACGAACACGATAACTCTGCCGTTTCGTTTTCGTTGGCCCACCCTGTATATACATACATACAGTGGAATCTCCAACAACAGCCACCTCTAAACAATAGCGTTTTTTTGTTAATTTGTGTATTTTATTTTTAAAAATATATATATGTCGTATTATTTTGCAGTCGTGGTCGTAAGGTCGAGTGTACGTTGAACAAGACAAAGAAAATTGGAGACCATAAAATAACACGTCCGTTCACTTTCGGATCCTCACTCCAACTCTATTTTATTGGTGCTGTTAACCTCATTCCAAAAGGGACGAGATTAACAAAGTAAAATACAGAAAGTATTTACAAAATTTACAAAAATTTTAAATATGTTAAATGCCCCCCTCTGAGTGCAGGCATCGTCTTGTTCTCCACCGAAACAGTTAGTAGTAGTCAAGATGGTGAAGTTGGTTCTGATTTATTTGCTTCAGATACCATGTGTACATCTCTGTGAATAGAAGCTGAATATCTTTGGGGACAGTCTCTTCTCCAGTGCTGGGCTGGTAATCCCTGCTGATAGCAAAAACGGCAAGGCGATGGCGGTGTGCTCATCGATACAGGAAGCTCCATCAGTCTTATATCCCAAGGACTATTAGAAACTTTATCCAGATACTTTCAATACCAATCGGATGTGAAGATTATCACTACAGCTGCAGGATCTACCACTAGCATGGCTAATGTATCTATCCCCCTTAAGATTGGAAACCTAACTAAAAGCATTACTTTACATGTAGTATCCAGGTATTTCCCTTATTTAATTTTATCTTATCCAGACATTAGAAAATTCAATCTTATCATAGATTCTAGTCTTAATCAGATCTCCCAAAATCAGACTATCCTAACATTAAATCCTATTACTTTCAAAGTACGTTCAAATCAATCACTCTAGTTCCACAAATAGTCACTATAGTAGAGATATTAAGCATTCTTGTGATAGCATAAGTAACAATAGTAATAGCTTATATAAGATAGATCAGAGGGAGACCCCTCAGGCTCCTAACCTTGTCTTTCCATCTCCTTTAGCTCANATAGTTAAATTACGAAAACAGTGGAGTTAAATTTACCTGTTTATGTCCTAATACTGTAAATACCGAATTGTATCGAAATGCTAATACAACATTGGATATAAAATTGGAAGAAATGAAAAAAAATAATCCACCATTGGAGTAAGTATTAATTGACATATTTTATTATTTTTTAAAATAATTTTAATTAAAATTATTAATAAAACGTTTAAAAAAGAACCCTCTTAACCCCCTTAAAATGAATCTATTAGTGATTACAAAAACTTAGCATATATTGTAAGTATTGCAAGCATTATAATGGATGGTATGACATATGACAATACAACTTATAACATCAAAGTATACATTACTGTGAAGTAAATTGGATTGTACAGATTATATAAGAGTGCCTTAGGATTAAGGCTCTTAGGTCATTTGAATTACTAACGATATATTTGCTTTTCAGACCAAGTGAAGTGGCAGAGGCAATTATTCAGCTCATGGAAGAAGGAAAACCAGGAGCAGTTATGACTGTTGTTAAAGGAGAGGAAAATGAATATGTTCCGACAAAAATATACTTAAAATAGAATTAATTTTGAATAAATGGAAGTCAATTGATAAATTTTGGCTTGCAAGTACCAAATACTACATATAAATAACACGATTTATTTTTCTTTTATTCATTTTAAAAGAATGAAATTATTAAAATATGATAAGTAATAAAATGTCATTACAAGTGTTTTTGAGTTTTAACTTAAGTTTAATGTAACAATATTGAAATTAAAGTGAAATTCGCTTGCATGTGAAATATTCTACAGTTTATTTCACATATTTCTCGTTAAACACAACAACTTTTATCAATAACTAACATAAATAACTCACTTTTTATTTATGATAAAAAATATATACAATAGTCCTTATTCAGGAATACGGAAATTTTCATAAGAAATTGTAGTAGTTACCGCGATTTCGCCAGATTTTTTTTTTATATTTTAGGTACAAAACTTAGTACATAACCTGATTCCGCTAATGGCATTATCAGGAAGTATAATACAGAATTAATATTTACATGTAATATCAAAATATTGTTTAAAACATTAAAAGATATTTAACAAATGTTAAGGTGGACAGTAAAAATAAAAATTAACATGAGAATAAAGTTTACAAGAAAGCCTAATTTCTTATCAGGGATAGAACCATAGTATTGTATGGTGTNTGAACCATCGTCGTCCCCGTACGCTGCCCCAGTCACATTAGCTAAAAAAAGAGATGAGGGAAAAACTAGACTATGTATGGATTATAGGAAGTTAAACGAGAAGATTAAAATTAACAATGAACCTATTCCCAGAATAGATGAGCTGCTAGATAGACTTATAGGTGCGAAAATATTTTCTACTGTAGATATTCTGTCAGCCTATTGGCAGGTTCCTCTCCATCCTGAAGACAAAGAACTAACTGCTTTTGTAACGAATTCTGGCCACTTCCAGT